AATTTTAAACTAAGTTTTTTTAAAAAATTAGTTTTTTAATGAATGTAAGATATCTTTGCCTTTGAGATTAGTGCTATTATTTTGCAAGTGATATGTTTATATGTAAAAGTATCTTTTGTTGTTGGTTTATTATATTAATTGGGTGATGTAGGAAGCATATAATTTGATAGCTTTAATATAATGTTACAGGTTTTATATATGTTTAAATTTTAAGATGAATAGAAAGGATTAACCCATCATCAAACATATATATATAAAAAAATATATATTTCTATGTGCTTTAAATCCTAAAATAAAATTTTATGGCTGTATTAAGGTCGACTTAAAATTGAATTATGTCTCCAAAAGAGCTTTTGAGAAGGAGATGGTTTTCGCTTTAACCCCTTATCATCGAAGAATGTGGGTTTTCAAACCCTCACTCATCACCCCTTTAAACTACCTACATACACAAGAAAAAGGGAGGAAAGAAATAAAGTGATGAACTCTAAACCTTTTGGAAGTCTCCCTCGAGGCCTTTTAGTTATAACTAATTATTGAACCCCACAGGCTAAGCAATGTCCTTTTATCATTATCATCTTCATCTTCATCCCGTCTAATCAATTAAAATTTGAGATTGGATCTAAACAAGTTTTAAAACTACTTTAATTTATCTTTAGAGAAAACATTAAACAATTCTCGATAGATATATTAGGGGTGTTTTTACTTAAAATTAATAGAATTTATATGTTTTTTTTCCTTATTTTTTCATATTTCTCTTTGTAAAAAAAATTTAATTAATTAACTATGAGGGTAAGATGGGTTCGGATTTGCAAGTTGCTGCCTAATTAAGTTTTTTCCTTTTTTTTTTTTTCATATTTCTCTTTGTAAAAAAAAATAATAATTGATTAACTTTGAGGGTAAGATGGGTTCGGATTTGCAAGTTGCTGCCTAATTAAGTTTTTTCCCTTTTTTTTTTTTCATATTTCTCTTAGTAAAAAAAAATTAATTAGTTAACTTTGAGGGTAAGATGGGTTCGGATTTGCAAGTTGCTGCCTAATTAAGTTTTTTCCTTTTTTATCTTTTTCCTTGGCCAGAAGCAGTTGCCCAAGTTCAAAAAGGTTCAAATTCTCCAAGCCAAGCTGTAAAGCCATATGGGAATGGAGGGAATCACAAAAGACTTGTGTGAGGAGGCTTTATTCAAATCCATTACATGGTGAAGAAAGGCTATTGATGATGATGATATCCCTGCCCACCCCTTTAAGCAAAAAATCACATGGTGTCCCAAGTGCACATGTGGTGCACATGTAAGTCAAAGTCAAATCAGGCCCCCATCACCAGAAAGTCCTCTACATCCACTAAAATAAATTTGGTGTATCAACTTAAATTATATCCATAGCAACTCATTATTCTAATAATGATACATTAATTATCCATGAGTGAATCATTTAGACAACTAACAACTTATTATTATTTTTTTCCTGATTATTGTTGGTCGTATGAGGTGAGTTAATTATTCTGATAAATATATAGTGTATATGAGGAGAAAGATAAATTTATTTTATTCCCTTGCATTCATTCTACATGTGACATATAAGAATCAGTTTTTTAAATAAACTTTTCACCTAACCAAAAATAAAATTATAAGAAAATGTAGTTAAACTTTTAAGCTTTTGCCACAATCAATGGAGGAGATTACTTCAAAAATGGTTAAAAGTTGTTATGCATCAGCTCAGCTTTTGATTGTGGAATAGTTAATTTGGGCCCTGGGTACTCATCACTCTTTTAGGAACCCATTAATATTAGAGAATGTTATAATAACACTACTTCTACAATTGTAAATTTAAAATTATAATATATTAGTAAATAAATATAATATATTATTAAATTTTTTTTTTTTGACCGAGTTTTACAAGGGTGGGTTTCGAACCCACCATGAGGGAGGGAGGCAATGCACATGCAAGGACAGCCCGAAAACCACTTGATCCGAAGGACCAGGTGCAAATATAATATATTATTAAATGAGTATACTTACGTAGTATTATTGATAAATTCTGAAGTGAAAAGTAATAATTATATAATTATATATTATATTATAAATTTATAATATTATATAATATTATTATAATAATATTATGTTTTATTGCCAATTAAATATTGTACATATTTGATTGATTTGATTTTCAATAATTTATAGAAAAAGAACAATTGATCAATTTTTTTTTTGTTTAATTTGGGTGGTTGGGATAAACCATATCCTAATTTGTACGTATCTTAAAAACCAGTTCCTTCACAGTAATTGATTGAATGTGTTCTTATTTGCCAAGGTGTAACTAATGTCCTTATTTGTCTTTAAATGTATGCTGATTTGCCACCACTGTATAGGTGGTCAGATGGTCTCCTTAATTGCATTCAATAAAAAAAATTCATCGTTAATGGTAAGGTTAGTCAAAGTTTATGTCCTTATATGAGTTTTGGCCATATATATACGTAGTAAAACAAAGCGCAGTACCTGGTTTTCTTCTTCATTAGGGCTTTTTGTTTTTCCTAAGATATGTTAATTAATGCCGTAGATTTCTAATCTGCGAAGGTTATAGAAAATAATCCACAGATTATAAAGGCGAATTATCAAAACTTAACTTTTATAGCTATAAAATACACAAGAAATCAAATTCGTTGATTCACATTTTTGTTTTATTAGAAAGAAAATAATCTCACAGCTTGATATTCTAAGTTAGACGCTTTTATTTTTTTTGGTTAACAACATAAAATTTTTTACGTATTTTTTTTTGTTATTTGATGCTGAAATACCTTTAATTTAAAATTTAAAGTTTTAAAGATTATATTCTTGTGATGGATAAAAAATGATATCAGATTTTGCACCAAATCATTCTGAATTACTTATATGAATATATAAATTAAATTTACTGGTAGAATGCTTATACTACTATTTGCTCTCCCAACATAACAATATTTTTTGCATCAGAAAAGAAATAACAGTCATTTGTTTACTTGAATTTTTTTCATAAATTAAGATTTTTTCATATTTTACAAAGAAATTAATATTTATCTACCAAACTGGCAAAAAAAACAAAAAAAAAAACTAAATTACATTATTTCACTAAAGTATTATAGAAAAAGACTCAATCAGTTTTGTTTTGAATTTAAAATTTTATATATTTTTGTTTTTTTAATAAAAATTTATTAAAACAATCTAATTTTAAAATATTTTTTTACTTGATTTTTACAAATATAATTACGAAATATCTTTTCCTTGCATGGAAGACAAACATTTTTTTTGCTATAAATTGTTCTTGGATTACTATTGTAGGAGTAATATTAAAAACAAAATTGAATTTTGAAAAAAGAATAATTAACCAAAAAGGCAAGGAAAACTCAAAAGTGGATAAAACTTAAGAGCGTACCGGATTTGAAGTAGAATAAAACGGAAACTGTCAAGGGAGAACGGAAGTCAACCACATGGTTCCTACGCCGTTACATTACAACCCGTGTACGTACGACTTTAAGTCTTTAACCCTTGTCTTGTTTCCCCTCCTTTTTTTAACCCGAGTTTAGTTCGTTAACCACTCCACCCCCCAACGTATACTCCCCCCTACCCCTCTTCCTTTCTCTTGTTTTTATCTTTCCCAAACAACACCCCGTCCTCTGGAAACCATCATACCATTCCATTTTCCCGGAAAAAAAAGGAAAAAGAATTTAAATCTTCATTTTCTTTCTCGAACTCTTGATTCTCCATTGCTTTTCTTGTTTGGATTTCAAGGTTTTGGAAAGATCCCAGGCTGAGGCTTAATCTTCTTCTTCTTCTTTTTTCTTGTTCTTGTAATCTTGTTTTCTATTTTTGGTTAATTTTGTTTCTTCGAGAGATTTGTTTTTTAATTTTTCTGTTTGCGGATAGGGAACGCATTTCGAGAAAAAAATTTTTTTTGGGGTTATCCGAGGGTAGTAATTTGTAAATTTTGAGGTTGTTCTTGGTTCTGGACCTTCTGGTTTTTTGTTTTTTGTTTTTTGAGAAATGGTGGTGAAGATGATGAGGTGGCGGCCTTGGCCGCCTCTGGTTTCGAGGAAGTATGAGGTTAAATTGGTGGTACGGAGGCTGGAGGAGTGTGATCCGGCGGAGAAGTGGGATAAATTGGCCGTGGAGGTTAGATGGAAGGGGCCGAAGGCGGCGCTTAGTTCTCTGAGGCGTACGGTGAAGAAGAACTTCACCAAGGAAGTGGATGGGGTGGCGGAAAACGGCGTTGTTGTCTGGGACGAGGAGTTTCAGAGTCTCTGTACCTTATCGGCCTACAAGGATAATGTGTATCATCCATGGGAGATCACTTTCACCCTCTTCAATGTGAGTCTCAGAAAGACAAAATCATTATGCTTTTCTTGTATTTTCATTTTTCAGGGGTATTTAATGCAGATTTATGAGTTGGGGTTTCTATGTGATTAATGTTTTATTTATTGAAAAAGAGACAGAAAGATTGAAACTTCCCTTTTCTCCGTTTCATTATTATTATTATTTTAAAGTTAAAACTTATGGAGAAATTGTTTGGAAATTAATTTGGATTTTTGGGTTTCAATTTATTGGCTTGTGGGGTATAATTAAGGTTAGATGATTGAATTTTAGGTCTAATTTTATGAAAATATATGCAGGTGATGATTATCTGTTTATGCATTTCTTTGTTTTAGTATGAAACTATTCTTTTATTCTCTCTTTATTCTTTTTTTTTTTTAGTACAAGTTTCTGTTTTGATCAATATGAATCTATAGATTAAACTTGTAGGATTCTTTCTGCAATTGTCTAGGTTAAATTCGATATTCTTAGGGGTAATTAGTCCTATATATGGTTGCTGTTCCCATGGGAGTTGACCATTGGATTTCTGGGGAAATTTTGGGGAAAGTGATAAGTTTAATCTTTAGTTGATAGTTGAAGTTGTTATTTCTGACCTTTCTGTTGCTTGTTCAATCAACTAATTGTTTGTTCTTCTACAACCTTGGTGGATTATCTGTTTCGTGCTTAAGCAGAGGGATTCTTATCTCTGGAACTTATTTGCTTTAAAAGGAAATCTTTGTATTATTCATACTGGTTTTAGTCATCATTCTCATATATTCTATTCATTGACTATGAGGTTTTATCTGTGCAATATTGCAACTTTTTGAGAAAACTGAGATGAACTTTATATCGATGCAGGACTTGTACCAAGGTTCAAGGGGCAAGGTTGCTATTATTGGAACAGCATCATTGAACCTCGCTGAATATGCTTCTGCAGCAGAGCAGAAGGAGTTTGAGCTAAACATCCCTCTCTCGCTAGCTGCCAGTTCTGTGGAACCTCATCCCAAACTTTGTGTATGTGCTCAATGTTTATTTGATTGCTGTATCTATTATGTTCAGTTTGGCATTTTCTTAACATTTTGCATTTTCTGATTTTGAGTTTATTGATTGCATCGTTCAGGTATCACTCAGTTTGTTAGAACTAAGAGCTGCTGCTCTAGAAGTCACAGAGCCAGTGCAGGGAGCAATAGTGCCTGCTGTGTCCCCTTTCCGATCAGGGGAAACCATCTCAGCTGAAAAGGATGAGGTTTCTGCAATCAAAGCTGGTCTTAGAAAAGTAAAGATTTTTACAGAGTATGTTTCCACCAGGAGAGCAAAAAAGGCCTGCCGTGTGGAGGACGGCAGTGAAGTCAGGTGTTCTGCTAGGAGTGATGATGGTGAGTATCCATTTGACTCAGACTCACTTGATGATTTTGAAGAAGGAGAATCAGATGAAGGGAAGCAGGACACCACTGTTAGGAAGTCATTCAGTTATGGTTCCCTGGCTTATGCAAATTATGCTGGAGGATCATTTTACTCCAGTATGAGAATGAATGGTGAAGATGAGGACTGGGTATACTACAGCAATCGTAAATCAGATGTGGGCTGCTCACACGTTGAGGATTCAACTGCATCAATCTCCGAGCCATCTGTGCTGCAAAGTTCAAAGCGCAGCATACTCCCTTGGAGAAAGAGGAAGCTAAGCTTCAGATCTCCTAAAGCCAAAGGTGAGCCATTGTTAAAGAAGGAGGCCTATGGAGAGGAAGGTGGCGATGACATTGATTATGATCGCCGGCAGCTCAGCTCCGATGAAAGTCTTCAACTTGGGGTAAGAATTGCTTGAGCTATGTCTCTTCTCTCTCATTTTGTATACAGAGTAAAGAGAACCTCATTGGTTACTGCTTAGTTTGATAGCTGATGTTGAATGTTCCTTGATTATCAATGCCCTGGTATAAATTGCCAGATCTGATCCTTTGTATTTGATATACATATCAACACGTATTAATGCATGCACGCACATGCACCTGAACACTCGCTATGGTTTGAATCTGACCTAGCCCAACAAATCTGATGTCTTTAATTCTCCATCCACTGTCAGTTCCCCTATTATGGCATGGACTTAAATTTTCTGAACAGTAAAATTTGGTTTATATTTTAACAGAATGTTAGCAATCTTGTGTATTTATACTGTTAGTGTCTTCATAGTAGTAAATCAAATTCTCAAGTTTAAACGACCTAGTCACAGTTTACACTGAGGTATATCAAGTCCTAAAATTTAAATTCTTTCTGTTTTTGCAGTGGCATAAGACGGATGAGGAGTCGTCTGCAAATCGCACATCGGTCTCTGAATTTGGGGATGACAATTTTGCTATAGGCAGTTGGGAACAAAAAGAAGTGGTAAGCCGTGATGGACATATGAAGCTGGAAGCCCAAGCATTCTTTGCTTCAATTGATCAGCGGAGTGAGCGTGCAGCAGGAGAAAGTGCATGTACCGCTCTTGTTGCAGTTATTGCTGATTGGTTTCAGAACAACCGTGAGCTTATGCCTATTAAGTCCCAATTTGATAGCCTGATCAGAGAAGGCTCAATGGAGTGGAGGAATCTCTGTGAGAATGAAACTTATAGAGAGAGATTCCCTGACAAGCACTTTGATCTTGACACAGTCCTTCAAGCAAAAGTTCGTCCTCTTTCGGTAATATCAAGCAAGTCCTTTATTGGATTTTTCCATCCAGAGGAGATGGATGAGGGAGGATTTGACTTTTTGCATGATGCCATGTCTTTTGATAACATTTGGGATGATATTAGCCGAACTGCTGCAGAATGTCCGAGCAATGGCGAACCTCATCTTTACATTGTCAGTTGGAATGACCACTTTTTCATCCTCAAGGTTGAACCAGAAGCTTACTACATCATTGACACATTAGGGGAGAGGCTTTATGAGGGATGCAGTCAGGCCTACATATTGAAATTTGACAGTAGTACTGTAATTCACAAACTGACAAATGTTGCCCAATCATCAGATGAAAAACCAACTGGTGATCAGCAAACAGCAACAGCAGCCACGGAATCCAAGAATCCACAGGTTCAGCAGGTCAGTGGGAAGGAGGGTTCTGTTGAGTCACCAGAAGTGACCAAATCTGAGGAATCAGGTGATGGAAATGAAGAGGTTGTGTGCCAAGGGAAGGAGTGCTGTAAGGAATACATAAAGAGCTTCCTGGCTGCCATACCAATAAGGGAGCTGCAGGTCGATATCAAGAAGGGCTTGATGGCATCAACACCTCTTCACCACCGACTACAGATTGAATTTCACTACACTGAGCTCACTGAGACTCCAACATCTCAGATGATGATGACAACATCCACTCCGCCAGCCATTGAATTTCCATTAACAGAAGTTGCTGCATAGACTTACTGTAAATTGTAGGGAAGTGCCTCTACTCTTTAACCTTTTTTTTTTTCGTTTCTAGAATTCCCTTTTACTATGCATATCTTATAATGTTAATGGGGTTAACAAAGAGGAACCCATCTGAACTTTCCAAGAGGTTTGGCAAATAGAGTTGTGCTTCTGATCTTTGGCTAGCAATGAAACATCTACTCCAGTTTGGAGCTTTTAATTTCTGTCTCTTGTTCGGAAATTGGTATTATATGACTGCAATTATCTTCTTTAACTCGCTGCTAAATAAAGCATCCTAGAGCATCTATAATGGGAGAGACTCATTTGAGTCTTTTTTTCATGCCACATTATCACAATTTATATGTTATGTTTTTCAACTCACCAAGAAGATTCTGAGAGAGACTCTCCCCTCCCATGTATAAAACCAGGAGACTTCAAAAATTGTATCAAAAAATAAAAATGATACTAATGTTTATCATGTGAATCTAAAAAAAAAAAAAAAAATTAAGGGAAAAAATATTTCATAACTAGTTTTATTAAAGCACTCCATGCTCTTATGTATCTAATCCAACGGTTCCGACAACATATTGTCCTTTTGGAATACATGTGCAACTTTTACAGGCTGGCTTTAGAATGGGGATAACTTCACTATTCTTGAATCTTGACATGCTTTGTTCCCCCAATTTCTCGAACCTTGCACTTTTAATGTGAGAGGAAAATAGTTTTTTAATTTTCTTTTTGTTTTATTTTTTTTAATATGAAATTCTAGACTAGCATTGTGAACAATCATTGCCTTTAGATGTTTTTATTTTATAGGTTTTCTTAATCTGTGTTTTTATTTAGTGTATTTATTGTATTTTTATTATTAATTTATAAAAAAAGTTATGAAAATAAACATTTTTTTAACAATAATATGAGGTAAAATCTTTTAATCGAATAATTGATAAAATTAATATTAAGTTTTATTTTTTAATGTAAATTGATAATAAAAAAATATAAGTAATATACTTTTAAGATGCATATTAAAAAATTCCTTTATCTATTTCTTCCACATCCTATAGATGTGGTGCTGTTGTTTACTTTGATATTTTTATTAGAAAAATATGTTTTTCATTTTAGCAAACATTACTTGTTATGAAATTTCAAAATACTCATATAAATGTTTTCCATATATTAATTCATTAAATGTATTTTAATTATTTTATTACTCTTTCTGAAGTTTACACCAAAAAACCAAGGACTCGATTATCAAATAAGCTCACCCAAATATTCTTTTCCTGTATTCTGTTCTCTGTAAAGAGAATCTTTCAAAGATGGTTTCCATTCCAATGATATTAAAAAGTTTCTCTCAACTTATGTATTCCTCTTGAGGAAAACTTCCATTCTAAAGCTCCCTTTTTAATTTATTCCATTTTTCTGACTACCTTGAATTGCAATTCTAAGTTGAGTGAGGGTTTCTTATATTCTCTTACCTTCTACTACAGCAAGTTGGGAATATACCCTTTCCTTATTAATCAAGATGTAGAGAAAATTGTGGCCATGTATTAGAAATCACAATCTTGGCATGAAGAAGATGATGACGACTGAACTATTATGGCAAAACCAGCCCCCCATCCCCATGCTTTTTGACTCATTCCAACCACAACAATTTTATCACAAAAACTGGTTGACTTTGTGCCATTCATTTTGAGCCATAAACTACGTAGATCACTTAGAATATTACTATATACCATAGTTATGATTACGTCGAAGCCAAATGCTGTTTAAAAGATAAAAAGTCAAAGATTTAACTTTTAATTATGAGTAATTTTTGAAAGAAATAATAAGTTTTTGTATGTAAAAACTAGTTATTAAATTCTGATTAAAAGTATAAATAACTTGGTCATTAAATTATCAATCTCTTATTAAAAGCACAAATAATTTAATTACTAAACTATATGCATCATGATAAAAGCACCAAACCATATAGCCAATGGTAGAAGATGATAGGTTTGATTTCCAAACCATATGGTCGATGGAAAGAGATGATAGGTTTGATTCACGCCAGTGAGTAAAACTGCAAAAAAATAAGGCAGGGTGGGTAAAAGAATTGGAAACTGGACTTCGTGGTCGAGGCTTAGTAGGGTTTAGCAAGGGCCTTGGTACGTATAAAGTCCACAACACACCCATCAAGCCATTGGCCTACCATAGGCCTTAGAAGGTACACAGTACCGTGCTGTAGCGCCACGGATATAAATATTAAAACCGGCAAGAACAGACATTACACTTATCATCGGAAACAGTTGGTTCGAGTGAAAAGAGATCGAATTTTTTTAACAAGATCTTGAGATTTTTATTAAATAAAGTTTTGAGTTTGAAATTTGTGAATAAAGAAAAAAATACTTAGGGGAGTTCGACATGATTTGATTTTAAATTAATTAAAATTTAATGTGATTATTAGATATCAAAAAATTAATACAAAAAATAAAATAAAATAAAATAAAATAAAATAAAATAAAGCGAAACATTACATTTATTTTGAAAAAAAGGCCGAAAAAGGAGAAAGGTATGTTTTGTGTTGCGTTAGGTGTTCCTTTTTCAAAGGGGACTTGTTGCCTCACCTAAAGTCTAAGCCTTCAATGTGGGAATAAGAAAAGTGAAAAACATCTCTAGATTCTCTACAGACGTTCAAAGGTCCGCTACTCGGACTCTCAGGCAAATTTCAATGACTTTCAGTAAACTAATTTTGCATTAAAAAACAACATTTGAATCCAAAAGAGATATAAATATATTTTATTTTAAGTTGTATAATAAAAAAAAACTCTCTTTCACCCTATTTATATATTATGCGAGTCTAAATTAAAATATCTTGTTTTTATTAAAAAGATATTATTATTGAATTATTTATATTTTTAAAAAATAGTGAGAGATTGTTAATTAAATAGGATAGTCAATTTCATTTATGCTTCATCTGGGAATAATCTCTGGAATCGTAGCCCAAGTTTGAGGCTTTGGGCATATTTTCTTTGGTTGTTAGCCATGTTTCTAGGGTACTAACTTAGGCTCAGCTAGCTCAAAGATAACTCTATATTTTGCTTAAGTCAAGATAAACCATCTAGGATTTACATTGAATGTTGCATCATTTTGTTCCTACCTCCCATTAGCTTTTGAATTAGGTCCCAGTCCTTTTCTTGAATGGAATGATGCCATTAACTTATTTCCTTCTCACATGGATCTAACCCATCTTGTCCATCCCTACACATGTCAATATGATCCAATTGGCAACCATAGAAGTTGTAGGTAAATGGGCTTTTAGGAAACATTACAATAGTTTTAACACCATAATGGATAAAATTTAGGGTTTAAATCTTAAAGTTAGCATACTTGTAACAATTTTATTTTATTTTTAATATATAAAACTAATGTGAAAATAAGCTTTTAAGATTACATTAAAATAAATTAGTTTTAAAGTATATGAAAATTAGTCATAAGACATTTTAATTGTGACATTTTAATTGTAAATATATATTTAATAAAACATGTATTCCAACTAGTAAGATTATTATCATAATTTTTTCTGTTCTAGATTTGTATATAGAGAGATTGTTATAGCTAAATGAAGGTTCGAGAAATCCTTGATTGATTGGAATCCCTTATATGTCTCCTTACCACAATATTAAAACCAAAGCAATCATAATAACATCACAAAGGGGAGCTCTTTAATAAAAGGTGTCTGGGTGAAAATGATTTATAAGGTCAGAGATTTTCTTTATTTGTATGGGCCTTTTGATTCCCTCGTCTGACTATTCTCTACATATTATGGAACACCCATGTGCTTGCTTTTCTCTGTTAATCATTCCAGTCTCTTATAGCTAGACAATGATATAAAGTTCTAATTTATGAAACCCCCTAACTGAAAGCACTATGAAATGTACCCCACATTTCATTTTCTCTACCTAATTGTTTCTTAGATTCATTTCATATTCCCAAGCATACAAAAATGGTGTTTGTTTTTATCTTAATTAATTCATTTGGAATATAAATCATAGAATGAACATTGGAATCATCCACAAACATTAAGACATTTAGTTAAAACAAATATTTCGACCAATTAACACACAAATGTTCTCACTCTCTCTTTTGTACACATAAGGGATTCGAACTTGGAATTTTAGGTTCTAGGTTCTAATAACACTGAAGCTAAAAAGAATATATATCTTGTTCGGTAAAGACTTAAATGTTTCTTCACTCTCACTATACAAACTTAATCATAGTAAAACTTACTTTGACTTGAATGTGTAGCCGAATTAATAAGGTCCATGTTCTCCACGCTTGAAAGATGAGCTTGAATCCCCCACCCCCAATATCAGAAAGAGAAAAAAAAAATCCTAAAACATGAGAATTAAGGAAGGGAAGAAAAAGATCTAGGCTACAAGGAAATGACAATTCGAGAATCAAGCAATAGAAAACACATTTACCTATTTTCATTGCAAATAAGGTGTATTTTTAATACTAAATCATCAATTATGTGATTTCGTAATAGAATTATTTATATTTTTAATCACAGATTTAGAATTCAATTCATAGTTTATATGTTAAAAAAGAAGAAAAAAGAAGAAAAAAGAAGAAAAAAAAAGCCTATTACTCGAGACATCATTTTCCCAACACATTTAGACCATGTGGCAGACTCTAGCAGCAATAACCTTTTTTTTTTCTTTTAATAAAATCTAGTAGCAATTACTTGATTCTAAACATTCAGGTCAAGCATACCTAGTAACTTGGAATCCAAGAAAAAGTTAGAGAAAGAGAAGAAAAATATACATCACAAAATAGGACTATGCGGAAAATACAGGCATTTTTTTAGCAGCAAACAGGGCATTTGACTAACCCATTCTCATTGCATTCAGGACATCTGATGCACAATTCCTCACCTCCTCCATCCTTATAGACCTTCCGGCTGCCACTGCAATTGGAGCACACCACGAACAGCACCCCAGCGCAAGAACTGCATCGGTGATTAGGCAGGGCCAAAGGTATCCCTTCAAGGAGCTTCTTCAGCTTCCCTTGCTCATGCAGTGTAACAACTTCATCAGCTCCTCCTATGTACCTGCCCTTGATGAACAGCCTTGGAGGGATCACTCTTCCCTCAAGTATCGTCCACAATTCATCCCTGAATTCCATGTGCATTGAAACATCTCTCTCTTGCACCACAACCTTGAAGCTATTTAACAGAAACCTGATAGTGCTGCAGTCCTCAAATGTTTTCCTTATACCTCTCAAGCTTGTTGTGTAAAACACCACCGCTTCTTCCCCTTCCGGAGGACATTTCTCTTCAAAACCTGTTAAACATGGATTATCGGAACTTTCTTCACAGTCCTTATACATACTGTAATCTTCCATGCTGATTTGATCCTCATCAGGAGCTGTGAGCTTGGGCTCTAGGGTGGATGCAACGTTATAATTCCCCTGGTTGCTAACACGGAATTCGAATTCCATTTCTTCATCTTTGTTGCTATTTTTGCTATCTTGTTCTTTATAAACTGATAGGATATGGTGATTTTGAGCAGAAAAATTCTGAGGGGAATTGAAGTGATGAAAGACTAGGCCTTGTTTTAACGTGGTGATAGTAGTGGGGATGAAACTGAGTTTCTTTAGAAATCTTCCCTTCATTTCTTTCATCTGTTATTGGAGAAAGAAATAGAGGCAAAGGCATGTGCCCAGACCAACACTGATTAAAGGTTTGTGAATGGGAAAAGGACAGTATGGTTGATGAAGAGGTTTTCCTTTCAATGTCAGGAACGTGAGAACTGAAAAAGGCTTTAGTGAGTTGGTTGCTTTTAGAAATCTTGATGGATCACTGAACTGTGGGGTATCCTTCTTTCTTTCTCCCAGTGGACTCCACTTAAGGACTCACCTGATTCTTACCCAAAATTTTGGTGCCTCATCATGTCCATCATTCATTGCCCCCCCTCAAAAGAGAGGGGGGAAGAAAAATAACCTTATGGAAGGATGTGGGTATCATTACACAAGGAAAAGCAAAGAACTGGATGAAAAAGTGATTAATTGACATCATATAAGGTTGATTATGGCCTAATTTGAGGACTCCACATATGGTGTTAATCTAATTCAACTTTAAAAAAACACAAGGGGGAGAAAGATATTTGCAACTTTATGCGTTGCATGCGCGATCAAAGGAATACTTGCCTGGTAGAATTAGAAAAGTTAACTTTGCTTTGCAATTCAACTTGCACTGAAGAAGTGGAAATGGTAGTAGAACCGTAGAAGTAGGCAGCATAAGATAGGGGAACAAGTTGGGAGGTGGGTCATAAGTCAGTACATTATGTGTAAAAAGCTACTTTTGACCTCTTTTCTTTCTTTGATGGCCAAATAACTTATCCTTTTACATTAACTAGAAACCTACCAGCAATAGCAAGATGCCAACCACAGCCAAATTTGCAGCAGTGTCCCTTTAATTCCGGATTCCCGATCACCTACCGGAGTGACTTTGGTACAACTCCAATGATTAATGATTCCTACCAAAAGAATCCCTCTTCTAATTTGGAGAAAATTGTTCCAAATATTCCTAATCCGTGGCTTAAAATGAGAAGGTTTTACATTTCATGCTCCCATAAACATACAAACACAAACTCATCATAAAGTAAATGATAAGACGAAATATAAATATTACCCTAGGTTGCATGCAAAACAAGAGTTTGAGCTCCCCACAGGATAACATTTAGCCTGACTAATTGAATGTCTAGAACAGTTGCACATACTCCCTTCACCTGGAAAATGCACCCGGTTACCGGTTGAGTAAGGTTCTAGCACTATGAGCAGGATAGAAACTTGGATAACAGTTGCACAACCTTGAATAGAAACGAAAGCAAGTTGCTTGCTCTTGCATTTCATTGTAGTGATAGCAGTTGTATCACGTCGGCATTTGATAGCAATACGACAGCTTTAAGGCTTCTCAGGCTAGGCTCTCCAACCTTGACCAAATCGCCAATGTCTGTTAGGACCCTCATGTACATTATTCTCAGTTAAACTCCCTTGAAAACTTGGACTAGTATTGGGTGGGGTGCGCCAGGCCCAGGCTGTAGTGCAACGCCTAGACGACGCTTGAGAGACCCAGTAGCAAGCTACTGTAATGGCCTCTGCCCCTGGAAAAATTAATTTAATATCATGTGAGCCAATGGCTCACGTATCAGATATTAAACTGATAAGAACAGATACTACACTTGATCTTAGCCAAAAGGCCGAGAAAGGTATGCTTGTAATCGTGTTTGGTCTCTCCTCTTAGAGGTGACTTATCCCCTTGGCCAAGCCCTACACTTTCGATGTGGGAAAATGAAACAACGCTACATACCTCTTGAAGGCAAATTTCTGTGACTTCAATAAGCTAAATATGCACCAAGAAACTGTGTAGGAACTGTAGGAGATTGTTAATTAGCAAATATAGTTAATATCATTTGGGATTAATCTCTAGAATCATGGCCTGAGTTTGAGCATGTTTTTTTGGTTGATACTCATGTTTCTAGGCTACAAAACTTGGGCTCAGCAAGCTTAAACGTTAAACTCTATATTTTGTTTAAGTCGAGATAAACCGTCTTGGATTTACATTTAATTGTTGCAGCATATTCTGGTTTCTAGCTCTCAGGCAGTGAAAACAAGGGAAAATAGAGGTAGAAGTAACCAGTGTAAGATAGGGGAACAAAGTGGGAGGGTGTCATCAGTTAGTACCGACTGCCTAGTGTGCAAAAAGCTCATATTGAACTTTCTCTTTCTTTGACGTTCCAAAACAACTTCTACATCAACTAAAAACCAACCGGCAACAGCAAGATGCCAACCACAGCAAAATTTGCAGCAGTCTCCCGATCACCTTACCCACCGGAGTGACCTAGTTGAAAGACACGTTTGAGAGATGAAGACTCTAGAGTCAAGTCGCACGCACTGTCAATGCTAAGGTGAACCTAGGTCCCTTCAATTCCATGAAGCAGAAGCTACGACTATGGTTCTTTTTCAGCTGGTTAAGAACTCCTATGGTTCTTTTTTGGCTGCTTGGAACTCCTCTGGTTAAAGAACCCAACCAAAGGATCCCTATTGATAAAACTCATCCTAAAATTCATAATCCCTGGCTTCAAATAAAATAACATGAAAAGTGATACAATTCATGTTCCCACAAACATACAGAAAAACTCATAAAGTGAGAAGAGGAAACATAAATAATGCCCTGAAATTGACAATAGTCTATTTAAATGACAAGACAGCTTTCTGCAGTTGTATTATGTCATTCGCATTATGCAACATGACGGCTTTAACAAATCAAAGTTTGAGAACTGTGAGCTCTAGGAATCACTGGTACTCATGCATTAAGCAACACGCATTGTAGATTATTATTTACATGATACTAATATGACTGTGGTGGATAACTCGGAAAAACTAATCACCAGATGCTCAACTATCAGCCACAGACGATGCAAATCCAATGTCAAAACCGAAGCCAATGCATGTCAACTCATTCTTGTCTGCATCATACATCTTCATTGTCAAAGAGTATGAACCCTACACGGATGAAAATTTGTCAGAGGAATGATACAATCTAGATAAATGCAATATTTTGTTTCCAAATACTGAAAGTTGTTATAAAGAATTTCATCCAAACTAACTTGACCTCAATAAGTCATCATTGAATAAATTGTTCAATGTCAATTTTCTTCTTTCACAAATTGGAATGCATGCTAGCTAGAATTGGGGTCATATTTCTATGGTTATAACATGTTTGGCAAGCAAGGAACACAAGCAAAATCATGTTTGTAATTGCAACATAGCCAATAATCCTTTTCACATAGAAGACTTAGAAGACTCACGCAATCTTTATATCAGAAAACTCATGAAAAATGAGAAGCAATGTCATAGAGGCCAGAACAACAAGTCTCCTTGTATCAGACTGTTCTGATGTATCATGTAGGTTCATTTTTCTTACTTTTTTTGTAAAATCATGCACATAAGGACCTACTCTAATCACAACAGAAATGAGCTTTTATGGAGACATATGACGGGTGTCCTACTTGGTTTCTTTGTCAAAAAAATAAAATGGGAAGACAAATAAGCAATTAAACATTAAAAGCAAGCCCATTAAATGATCAGGCACAAGAGTTAAGCTAGTATCAGGCTTTATAAGATAAACAAGAAGAAAGGAAAGAAGTGGGGTATTTTTCTAAAATCCAACCCATCTTTTTCCTAGGTCCTCAGCTCTGGATGGAAACCGGCTTTTATAGTTAGATTTTTCTCAGACAGAAGTTAGGAAGTACATTCTGTACGGGGCATTTATAAACTAAAAGCCTGTGATTTAAAAACCACAAGATCATATTATCACTCAATGAACTTACAGGTGGTGTGAATCCTGGTAAAACTTGCGAGTGAGCAACCACAAAGTCACCAGTTGTGACAGGGCAAGATGTCTCAGCACAAAGGTCATGGGTCTCACTGTGAATATGCCATCCAAAGTAAGCAACATCAATCACCAATTTTCCCCCAGTGATAGCACCATCTACATAATAAAAATTCAAAAACCTTGAGTCATAAACAAATAACACTACAATCAACCATCTGAAACAAGCAGTTACAATAATCAAAAGAAATATAATACCAAAAGCCAAAAACTAAATGATACACTGCATATTGATGCTCTACATTGCAAAGCACCAAGGTACCTGCAACAGCAGAGATACTGAAGGTAGCAGGTTTGCCTCTTGCCACCGGATAAGGCGATATCTCAACTCCTTTGACCTTTACACTATAGTCAGCCTTCTTGTCTGCAAAAGTTTCACAATGGAAAAAAAAAATGGAAAAAACAACCCATCAGTCCCAAATTCATGATTCTAACATTCTACAATTAACAGTCTTCTAATCATTTAAATTAATATAACATCTCAACAATCACATAGACAGTTTGTTTACGTCAATTCCTAAAGCAATAGACATCTGAAATATTTTTTTTTCCCTGAAATTAAAAGGAAATTTTGACAAAATGACAAAGTCAATTCTCATATTGAAACAGAGAATATAAACAATTAATCAAATCTTAAACTATATGAAAAACTGGAAATAAAAACAATAATCCGATAATAATTCTAAGAATTAAGCGACAGACCGCAGTATTGAACGTCGGTGGCTTGTGTCAACGGAGCGAGAAGACAGAGAGACACAAAGAGAGCCGCAATCATCCCATTGAAGTGAACAGTCTCCATTGAAATCGATTTAGATAAGATTTGAGGGTTTCCCGGTTGCAGAGATCAAGGATGGAAGGAAATCAGGGAGACGTAGGAAGAAGAGACCGGAGTTGAATAAATGAAGGAGTGTTTTTGAGACGGAAGGAAGAAAGGTGTAGTTATTTTAGGCAAACGCAAGCGATCTGAGCCGTTGATAAAAGTCGGACCGGTAATTGAAGGTAAAGATTTGTTTAAGTGGATATACTTTACAGCGTGGACTTTTTGATTTTGGTTGTTAGTTGGGACCGTTAGGTCGGACATGTTGGAAGTTATCGACAGGCAGGTTGGGCTGCCTTCGTTTTTTTTTTTGGGTACACAGGTTAGGCTGCCTTTGTTGATTTAATTTTTTTCCTAACCTCTCGTATCTAGATATTATATTGAATTCTGATTAATTTAAAATCGAGTTCAGTAAAAACGTGTATGAGAAAAGCTTTTTTCATATTTATTTTTTAATTTATAAGACTCGAATTCAAAATTTTATTTAAATGAAATCAAATTTTTTCCACTCAAGTTAACAAATCATTGATCTTTGTTGATTTTTTAAGAAGGAGGTTTTAATAAGAAGTATGAATTGTTTTTTAATTTTAGAAAATTTTTTATTTAAAAATTAATATTTTATCATTTAAATTGCAAAATACACTTTCTTTTTAATAATTAGGATAAATTTTACTTTTCGTGTTTAACTTTTTTGGTGTGAAATACTTTCGTCTCTAATTTTCATTTTGCTTCATCAATAGTCCCTAATATTTTGAAGGGTTATTTTATTTAGAACCCATGCTAAGAGAATATTTATTATCAAATCATTATACTTTTGATAATCAATTGTCTTAAAAATATCAAAGTTGACATTAATTTTATTAAAGTGTTAATAATAATTTGACACATGTCATTATTGATAAAATCAAGAATAATTTTTGCATTTTATTGTAATTTATTGTTAAAAAGTATAGTAATGAGATAATAAATATTATCTACTTAAGTAATGGGGCTTTTACACTGTTTAATTCTAAAGATGTGATTCATTAGTAAATAGTTGTTAACTTCTAAGTTGAGCATAGAATTCAAATCTTAAAACTAGCACTCAAAGAAAATAATTTTTTAAATATACAAAATTGATATGAAGATATGCTATTAAAATTATTTCAGCAGAAATTTGTTTTGAGATATGTAAAATATAGCTTAAAAATACTTTGATTGTTTAAGCATCCTTCAAATGGGACCACCCTATGATTTTGAAGAGATAAAAAAAAAAAAGTCGTGCAAGCATTTTTATAAGAGCCTATTCAGGGCCTCTACCATTTGCCACATCATTATTTTCCATTAGGAGCCTATTTGGTTATATGCTTCCTCAAATGGAAAATCTGGGGAAGCCACAAGCCAAGCCTGTGGTGTGTCCTGGGATTTTTAAAATTTGGACACAAAAAGGATGGCAATATTTGTAATTGGTTAAGAATGATTTTAACCAACTATCTGTGGATTTATCCCTTAAAACTATTACAAATGTTGGTTACCCAATTAATGCCTTATAACTATACGTGATTAGAAAACGTGTATAACTAATTAAGGCCTCCCAAAATGATTTTTTCCTTATATTTTTTAAGAATAATCACTTTTTAAGAGAAATAAGTACTTATATGCTAATATACTTAATTAAAAAACTTTAACCCTAAAATTTATATTTCTTAGGCCAAGCCATTCAAAATTCTTCTTTGGAGAAAATAGCCAACCAAACACAGGCCCCACATTTAAAGCTCAAATTAACAGAAGAACTGGTGGATGACATTTTTCAAAAGGTTAGGGACTACGTATGGTACAAAATGAAGGTTAGGGATCAAAGTGTCCGATGTCCAAAAGTTTAGAGAGAACCGAAGTATTTCACCCTAATAATTAATTTTTCAGTTTTAATACTTCCTATTTAGGTTCTCCCATTTATGGTTGACTTTTGCTAATTTTTCTAACTGTGCATTTGGTATTGGAACGAATTTGAATTCATTTCATTTTTAGATGTATTTGTAAATGTTTTTCGTGCTTTAAAAATTTTGAAAGGGTTTGATTTAAATGAAATAGAATTTATTTCATTTTAATATTAATCTAATTGTTTTTCTAAAAAGAAGGAAAGAAAGAAGCAATGATATATCTATATATATTTTAAAGATATTAAGAGATTGAAAAAATCAGTTATGAGGATTAAATCTTACATTTTATATTATTATTATTATTATAGTAGATTTAGGGTTTTTAATCAATGATTTATCTAAACCACTATATAAAATCTTTTTATGTGGTAATTTCATATTATTCAATAATATCTCATCATGCCTTTCTTTCAATTTTCTCCTTCTCATTTTTCCAATGCTTTAATATTTTCTATATGGTATCACAGTTTACCCTGATCTCTTTCTTTTTTTTAATTAAAAAATGTTTTTATCAACACTAGTTAAGCTTTCATGGTAATTTAGGGAGGAGACGGGAAAAATTTTTTATATCTAGTCATAAAAAAAAAATAGAGAAAGAAAAGAATTATCCATTTGGTTATAAAAAAATTAGAAGAAAGGGGAGAAAAGTTGTTGATATTACCATATATTAGTCTTGATTTTTAAAAATAATTGGAGTATCCATCTACATTTGAAAATTGAAATCTAATTATATTAAATGTTAATATCTAGATTTAAAAACCCATTATATATTCTAATATAATGAGTTTTTAAATATAAATAACAACATTTAACAAAATAATTTTTTAAATTTTGAATTGAGTTTTAATTAAATAAAATGATATAGTAGTTTAATATTGAAACTCCAATTTATTTTAAGAATCAAGACTAGTATGCACTTTTCCTAAAGTTATTTATATTTTTTTTGAATTATTTTATTTGTCTACATGAAAAAAAAAAAATTTTAAAGACAGAACATTTTTTTCATTCACCCCATCTTTTTCTCTTTTTCTCCCTTAGACTAAATATTCTATATTCTATAACTACATGATTGCGTTACCAATAAAAACTTAGTTGAACTAATAATTTCATTAATTTTAAAATTTTAAGTTAAGATTAAGATGAGGTTTAAACTTCTGTAGTTTTGTAATAGCTCCATATACTTATAAAAAAATATATAAATATAGTATGAAAAATAGTAGCATTTTTTTTTCTTGAAAATTTAAAATTTTAAATACATATGGGCGTTCACCCATCCCTCAGTCTCGTGAACTTACTCTATACACGCAGTCACTTTCCCCTTTTTATGGGGCGCACATGTTGTGACTTTCTTTGGTTGAACAAGTTTTATGGTAGGTTGCCCAGCTAATGGGACTAAGGTATACCTTTTTATTTTATTAGGTTTGAAATTTTTAATTTTTTTATTTTATATTATAAAAGTTTTAATTTTAAATTAAAGAAATTTATTAATTATTTATTAAAATAAGAATAAAGTATTATAAAATTAGTTTTTAAAGATTAAAAACGTAACAATTTAATTTTAAAATTTTAAAAATTTAAAAAATAATTAATAAACTAAAAAGGATTAATAGATGAGTTTTTCATATACACTAGAATC